CGGTGGCGCTGGGTGGGGGACCAAGCCCGCTCGGCGGAGTTCGGACAAGGCGCGCTCGCGTCGCTCGGTGGCAGGCGCCGGGGGGCCGGGGTGGGAAGCTTCTCCTACTCGGACGCCCGCCCATGCATGCGTGGGGCGCGTAACGGCGGTCGGCGCGCCTACGCAAAAACGAGTCCGGGCTGTCCAAGCTGGAAGGCGCTCTTTTTGACGCCCCCGCGGCGGTGCAAAAAAACGGGCGGGGCTGGCTGGCTCAGCATCAGCGGCCGCGGCCTGTCCGCAGCGCGGCAGCCGCGGCGGCGGCGGCAGCAGCTTGCGCCGCCCGCAGCACCACATCGTCAGCCGCGGCAGCAGGTGGTGGCCCCCGGCGACGGCCGTGGCCAGGTCCTTTCCCTTTGCCCTTGCCCTTGCGGTTCTGATGCCCGCCCGGTCGCGCGGGCGGGCTCTGGCTGCGCCGCGGCGACCGGGTGCGGCTGCGGCTGCGGGGGCTCGGCGGCGGGCCGCGCGCCAAGGCTTCGATGGCGTCGGCGACGCCCTCCAGCAGGCCAGCGACCGGGCGGGCAGTCCAGGCGGGCAGCGCCGCGGAGACCACCAGGCTTTGCAGCCGCCGCACCTCATCGCACAGGACGCAAGGGCCGCCCTCGCCAAGGGCGGGCCGCGTCTTGCAGCAGGGGCAGGTGGCCATGGCGGCGGCGGCGGAGCGGGGGCCGGCGGCGAGACAGGCAAGGTCGGAAAACGGCTGCAGAGGTACCAGCGCAGTCGCCCAGCGCGCGCGCGTCCGGTCCCACGTCGTCCATCGACCCATGCGCTCAGCTTGGCGAAGGAGGACGGCGTCAGGATTCGCGGTGAGCTCGGCGGCGGCGCGGCGCGTCGGGGAGGCGGGGCGCTGCGCGGGCGCCGGGTGAGGGGGCGCGCGGCCCGACCGCCTCGTGGAGAAGGCGGAGGAGGAGCTCGTCGGTGGGGAGGCCCGCTTGGGCCGCCAAGGCCCTGAGTTCGGCGGTGCCGCCGGCGGAGGCACAGGCGAGGACTTCGTGCGCGGCGGTGAGCCAAGGCGGGCGGGGGCGCCACGAAGCGCCCACGACCAGCAACAGGAGCGGCCCCACGACTCCACAAAGGGCGCCCGCCAAGAACCAGGCCCAGCAGGCAGAGAAGGGCGCGCAGCCGGGTGGAAAGTGTGTGGGGGAGGCCCCCACGCACACCAGGGCCGCATGGGCCGCCGCGGTCCGGCACTCGCCCGGCAGTTGGGCGACCGCGGGGACGGCTTCGCGGCCGAGGTGCACAAGCCATGTGGCGGCGTTCCACACGACGGTCACGGGTAGCATGAGCACGGCCGGGGCGGGGGGCGGGAGGAGGCGCGCGGAACAAGGAGCCTTGAGCCAAAATGACTTGAGCCAAAATGGCTTGAGCCAAAATGGCTACGGTGCATTGACATTGATTGTGCCACAAAGGTCACCTTCGCTTAGGCGTGACAACGCCACAAAGGAGGATGATGAGGCCCACCTTCGCTTAGCTGTGCCAGCGGCACAAAGTCGAATGAAAGTGCAGGCTCAGCTTTGACAACCCCACAAAGTTGGATGATAAGACCTTCACTTTGAGCTGTGAGGCCCAAGTAAACCAATCAAAAAAACGAGGCAGCCCAGCACTGCCGATATTTGATCTGCGTTGCGCGGGAGGCGCTGCGCCCTCCCCCGCACCCCCTTCCGTTTTTCTAGTAGGTCCCACTGCCGTCCACCACCCCTACTATTCCCAGTGCCTCTCCACTCCGACCACAGCACCCCACTAAGATTCTTACCACAGGTAGCTACTATCCTCTTTGCATTGACACTGCCACAAAGCTGGTTGATAAGGCCCACCTTCAACTAGCGTGACAGCCAGAAACCCTCGCTTACTAGGAAACGCTGTGCTTTACCCCTCCGACTTCCACCAGCACCACCACCACCACCACTACTCCTGCTGCTGCTGCTGCTGCTGCTGCCACGGCTACGGCTACGGCTACGGCTACGGCTACTTCTACTGCTACTGCTACTGCTACTACTACTACTACTACTACTACTACTACTATAAAAATGCTATTTTAATTACTTTTACTTCTACGTCTACTTCTCCTGCTACTACTGCGACGGCTGCTTTCACTTCCACTTCCACTTCCACTTCTACTTCTACTTCGTTTTTTCTACTACTACTACTACTACTACTAGTGCCACCACCACCACCACCACCACTACTTCTGGTCTCCTTTCCTCTTTCTCGTTTTCTTGACTGTTACTTGTTTCGATCCTTTTAACAATTTTGTCCTTTATTTTCTTCTGAATTTTTCTTTGATGTTCATCCGTTTTTTTTCCCCTCCTTTTTGGCCAGCATGTCTCGTTCAGCTTCACCAAACAGACTTTGTGTTCGGGAACTCCAGACTGTTTTTATACTGGCCAGTCTCCAGATGTTATTCACGTCGCTTCGCGACGGTAACCGCCCGCACCGCATGGAAGGAGTAGGACACCTCCCAAACATAGCCGAGACACCCAAACATAACCGAGATGCCGAAACACCACCCAACACCGAAAAATAACCGAGACACCGCCAAAGCACAACCGATATACCACCAAAAAATGACCAAAACACCGCCGAAACATGATGGACATACCACCTAAACATGACCAAGCACCCGCCCAAACATGACCGAGACACCACCTAACCATGACCGACGCACCACTTAAACTTGACCAACACCGCTGCCCAGTGCCCAGCCGCCTAAAGAGTGTACAACCAAGGTGTCGCTAGTGTGGAATTAATGTGTTCCGACCTTTACCGTGCACAGAGGGTTTAGTGTTCAAAGACACATGGTAGTGGAGGGGCAGCCCTGCACGCAGCACGACGGAGCAAAGAACGAACACAACCAGAACTTCTGGCGACCCGCCGCTGCAAGCTCGTCGTGCTCGCCATCCAAGTCGGGGGCCGGTGGAGCCACGAAGCAGCCACCTTCATCCGGCTCTTGGCCAAGTCCAAAGCCCGGCAAGCCCCCGCCCTCCTGCAACCAGCCATCCAAACCGCCTCGGTCTCCCGGTGGTCAGCCCTCCTCAGCCGCGCAGCCAGCCAGACTTTTGCAGCCACGCTCCTCACTGAAGAGCTGTCCCCCCAGCATCCCCGCTGACACCCCCCCACCTCCAGCCGCTTCCCCCCCTGACAACGCGCGAGAAAAGCTTGGGAGAAAAAACAATTATATAATATATATAATGAAATTTTTCCGTGTATGAACTGCGCGCTAGCCGGGTGCGCATTGGGTTCTGGCACTTAAACATTATTGCGCATGAGTGTGAACGCCGCCGGTATCCAGAGCTCGCGCCCGGTGGGCCACAGTGGCTTCTCGTCCTCGCGTGTGAAGTTGGCGGCTGCTGGAATGTGGCGTCCCTCACCTTCGTGTGCGCCTCGTTCGCCTCCGTGCCTGGCGCGCGCCGCCTGTCCGGCGGCCGGCCTCGCTTTGCGCGGTTGAGGCCGTGCACATAGTGTGTATAGCGCCGGCGGGTTTACTTGAGAAGAGTTTCCTTGTAGTGCTTGTGTAGATCTGAACTGGTGAGTACATAATTGCCTGTTCTGCTTCTGTCGATGTTTGCTGTCGCCGCTTTTTGGAAACATTCGCATTCGGATAAAATACTTGCTGTCGTGTCCAGCGCGCACCCTTTGCGCATTCATTACGCCTGGCATATGTAAATGTTGCCTCCGTGATGAATATACACCGTTGCCTTTGGTAGTGGAACTTGGTGTCGTATGATTGCATTGATCCCGTATGATATGAGATTGTCCCGCGCCCATGTCCAAACACCTCTTGTGCTTAGTGCGATTTTTTTGTATATGTTTTCCGCTGGCACCTGATATCACTTGGCGAGTATGTTTTTCGGATGCAAAAATGGTGCGCATATACTTGAACATACATTTAGGCCGTCGGCAAAAATGGTGCTCAATGGAACATACATCCTTTCAATTTTTTTTGTTAGGGCATTCTTTTTGCACATGGAAGAATTGCTTGGTGTATATGAGTCATGCGTTGGCACATAGTCATACATTCACTGCTCAGATATATTACCCTGTTTACTTTTGAAACGCATCCGCTTTGCTGGTCAATGTTCGCTCGGCTTGCATGTTTTTGTATGATTTATGTGCTTGCGTGCCCAAACGTGCATGTTCTTTGCTACCAAGTGTGGTCTCTCTGACAATTGCTTTCTGTGTGCCTGTCATGACCCTCCAAACTCGGGGGGGTCAGCGCAGACCATTTTAGAAACCTAAATCTGGCAAATGAGGCTCAACCTGGGAAAGGCTGTGTAGAATCAAGGGCACCAAAAGAATGCATGTATAGTATAGAATCCAAAAAAGAAGTGGCAAACCAATAATCCACAAACAAGCGCAAAACCTTTTCAAACCTAAAATCGTAGGACCCGAGTTCCAAAAAATTGAAAACATTGTCTTCCCGGTCGCAGAGGGAGCGCTGCCCAGCCGCGTCGGTCCCCCCTGACGCGCCCTGCTTGTCCCACCCGCCACCCGCAAAAGACGGCCGCTGCATGCAGCTGGTTGCGGAAAAATATATGTTTCTGTTTACACCCTCCTGTGGTGTGCCAGGCTCCTTAGATTGAAAACTGCAGTGCCCTTGTCCGAACTCCAAAGGGTTTTGGAACACAAGATGTCCGAGTTTAGACAGGTTATTCGCAGAAAGGTTTTTGGTGTATAACCTATGCGTTCGTCCTTACGTGCACTTACTGTTTGGTTCGGTGATGCTATTCCTTTTAAATTTGTTGTCATCAAATCCCAGGGATCTTTTGCTATTGGTGTTGTCAGGTGGGGTTAATTTCTTCATTGTAAAACAAGGGGTGAGTGCTTTAGCTAATGTTTCGCAAAAATTCCACATATATCAGATAGATATATATATATATATTTTTTGTTTTTTTGTTCTGAGTGCATGAGATCGGAAAAAATCTGTAAAAATCAGCTGGTGTCGGCAGAATGTGTGATGCTGCACGTGGCTCAAGCCCTGTGCAATCCGCCGTTTGCTAGGATTACAGATTGTCCGCCACCGCAGGCTGCCACCATTGAGGAAGACATGAAACAAGTATGGATGGCAGCACCAATGCTTGAACAACTGCTCAGGTGGTTCGACATGACACAGCTGCCCGTCAAAAATACATTCATCGAGGCTGGCATGATTGATGCAGTAGTCGAAGTCAGCAGTGTGAGGTTTCGGCACAGCCTTCAAAACCGCGAGGTGAGATCGCAGGATCCGATTATTGTACGACCCCGGGCACAAACTGTTGAAGTGGTTGGCAGCCCACCGTACCTGGCCAGCAGGGACCTCAATTTTCAGTCTGTAACCTGTTTTGGTTCTTGGGACGCGTTTGCAAAAGATCATGGTTCGTTTTTTTCGGTTGTGCGACCAAGGTTCATGTGAGGTTGCTCCTGCACCGGTAGCACAAGTGAGTGCACCAGGCCAGCATCTCAGATAGACATTTGGGTGTTTGGTTGCCGCAACCCGGTCACCTTGCAGCCTGCTTAGAGGCACATAGTCACGGCACTATGTTGCATCCATTGGTTTCAATTGCCTCATTTTCAAGTCTTATGCGTAGCTTTGATTAAAATTTGGATAAGACGGATAGGTTGGAACAACTTGTTTTTACTAAACCGCTTTGCAACTTTAGGTTTTCCGGCAGTCACAATCGACTCCAAAGTTCGCGCACCTCAAGGCCAGATCTGTTGACATAGAGTACTTAAGAAGGACCCCGTACACCAATGGGAACTCTTGAAACACTCGTGTGCGAATCTTGCGGCCCTTTTTCAATCGTGTCAAAGTAGCACTGTGTTCTTGCATAGAACCAACAAACACTCCAACACAGTGCTGCTCCATTTTTGTCCTCTAAAACCACCATGGAGGTGCTGCGGCGTGTGTGGTCTCCAGCGTTGAGTCTACAAGGTGAGCCGAGTTCGTCACTGCCGGACCGTGTTCAATTGCATCCACGGTTTTCCCAGTTGCCCGGGTTGAAATGGAAGACCTCCCGTTTTTGCACTCTAGGTTACTGGAAACCTCACGCTTTGGAGTGTTATTTTTTCTTCGGGGGAAGTAACGCAGGGCTTCATGATGTGTGCAGCCATGGTGTGGCTAGGGCAAACCGGAGGATAGACACGTATATAGCAGGTTCGGTTTCCATTCCAACATTGTCAAATTACACTTCACCATTCGCTTGGTTTCGTTTCCTTCCAGTTGTAGGGCGCTTGCGGGTGTCAAATGGAATGATAGCTGAAGGGGCTTAGAGATTGGCAAAGCAAATGCTGCCTGGACTTTTTGGGCTAATCCTCAAGAACATGTACAGCCTGAGCCCCAGATCGAGCCAACAGAAACAGTTTTTTGTATGTCCAGCCAGCCCCGCTGAGAGAGAGTGCGTGAGACTGCTGGCAGGAGGTGCTCGGTGACCAGAACTCCAGATGTTCAGGGCTGAGAAAGAGCTCCGCCAGCCAGACCCTTCATGTTGGCAATAATGGGAGATGGACGACTAAAGTTATTGATGTTTGCACTAGCAAGGCAGAATGCAAGATGTCTCTGAACAAAGACATACTGTATGTTTCCCCACGAACTTTGTTTGCCGATGTTTTGTGATGAGGAGTGTTTGTACTGATTCGTACTGTAGCCCGCAGGGATGCACATCCAAAATGGAATGCTCATTGCCTCGGGTTTTCCGATCGATATGAACAAGCGCGAGAGAGGTCCTGTATGCACGAACGCCTGTGGGCTCCATTGTTGCAGAGCCGCCCTTTGCATTTGCTCTACCACAGGTGCGTCCGTCGAGTTGCAAGGGTGAAGCCGCAGTGGTTCACTATGACTGCAGTCCTGCACAGGCCGTGGAAGACCTTGCAAGACGTAGGTCGGGGCCTGAAGCGTACCATTGTATGTTTCCCAACATTCTTGATCTTGTTGTATTTTGTCGCAGGACAAGCACCTTTGGCACAGAGGCCGCCCGAGTGCAGACTGGTTCGGACCTTGGTTCATATCTTTGGGCATCGCAACCTTGCTGGCAGATGCTGCAAGCGCGGTGTGCTTGGATGAAGTCTTTACTGCGGTTGCATTTCCATCATGTAGATGGTGGCCGCACACCGAACAATGGGTAGTAGTAGTGTGTGTGCATCCAAGATTTGCGGAATAGCTCAAGTTCTCTCTGTCGGATACTTCCTTTGTTTCACGCACATCATGCCCAGCCCGTGCTTGTGACTTTTGCTTAGTTTGGTTGCACGCTTTGGGTGCGGGGTTAATGGGGCTCATCCGAAGAATGGAGCAAAGGCTGCCTGTGGAGGCTTAGGGTTTGCTAAAAGCAGCATCTCAGGAGCAAAAGTGCAGGGGTCCTATGGACGTGTGCGTTCAATGTTGGTGCGCAGGGCTCGTGTTTCACGTTGATGTGGGTATTCCTTGTGCGCCAGAGAAAAGAGCCTAGCTGTTTGCATGTATTTGTTGATGTTTCCCGGCATCAGACACTCCGGGACACTCTTGCTGCTGGTTACAGAGGGGCTTCAGCCCACAGGATGTACCAACATGAAGCCAAACAGCTATGCAGTGGACACCCTTGAGGCCACTCGTCAGCGACGAGAAGAAGCTCCCTGGAGACCATCCCGGCCACGTGTGCAGCCTCAGACTGCGAGCCTGCTGGTATCTCTACAAATTCAGAGTGCAAGGACTTACACTCCCTGGAAATGGAAGTGGACAGCACCAGATTGTAGAGGAAGATGGTCTTCCAGCTAGAGACTTTCCAGCCCCCTTTGAGGCTGATGCGTTCCCTTTTTAAGGCATCATTCCTGATCTATATATATATATGTATATGTGATATGGTTTTCAGTTAAGCCGCCCCAAACCAGGGTCATATATCAGGCTGGACAGAGGCCGGCCAAGCATTCCGTGGTTTTCATGTCCATAGCATTTTTCGAAAAGACATCTAAGGCCTGACATGTACTACAGCTGGCCACCGCCGCAGGGCGCTGCTCCACCCGTCCAAGCCTCAGATGTTGAGTTGTGTTGATTTGCGTTTGAACAAGTCACATTCAGTCACATTCACGGATTTGCTTGTTGGTCCCGGTGCCAGGTCATGGTTCTCCCAAGTCCAGTACCAGAAGGTTCAACTCAGGCACGTGGCTCCAACATGAGTTCCAAAAGCCCTAGTCAAGCAAAGGCGCCATGGAGGTGTCGACCATGTTGTTTTTTTCTCGGCAGGTTGGGCATGCTCTGGCACCAATGGCAGCCCCGCACGGAATGCCAATTCTCCAATGCCCTCCAGGACAAGCGCCCTGCCAAGTTCACATGCCAATGCCAATGTCAGAGGCACAACCAATTGCTCATTCAGTGAGCGCCCAATACCCGGGAATGGGACAGCAATTTGCACATCCACCGCCTGTCCAGTATGGAAGCCAAATGCCTCTAGCCACTTCATGGGATCCACAGATGCATTACATGCCGCCAAGTGCGCTGCCTTCTCAGCTGGAGCCAGCCGGCAAGCCTCAACTGCAGAAGCTGCCTGCATGGCAGCCAGCAGCTCCAGCGGCCGCCAGCAAGTTCCCAACACAGCCCCCACAGCAGGTCTTGGTGCTCTCAAACTTTTTACAAGAGGTGCCACCACAAGTGGAGTGTCATTTCAGAGATGTAGACACGTTTTTCAAGCCTGTGCTCCGGCTGTGGAAGGCACCAAGAAAGCTGGAGGCACAGTTTTGAGCTCGGCCATATCTATCTTGTTCCAATGCTGTTTTGACGACAGTTCCACTCAGGTTGCCAGCGGAGGTTCAAGACACTTCGCAAGCTGGGGGAATTACAACGTGGGGCGCTAACCTGGCTTGCGGAAATAAGTGTGCACTTCCATGATTGTTAGAACAAAATAATCTTCCACTTCCATGAATGTCTGAGAGAGAGTAATTGATCAGTGGTGCCGGAACACCTATGTCTGCCCAGGCTTATGCTGCGAAATATTCCGGTTCGCGCCTCTGCACATTTCACCAGCTGTGCGTTACATCTTTCACCCTGCGCACAACCCAAAGTCATGTTTTTGATTTCTCCTTCCGAGGTTACTTTCAACCGAGAATCCCTTTTGGCTGATTTTGATGTCCGAGCCCCAGATGAGCAGAAGAAAGCACAGAACTGAATTCCCCCTGGCCATGTTTCACCAAATGGAAGAAGGCAAAGTATTCCCAGTGCAGTGTAAGCTGACATTAAAGCAAACATGCTGCCTGGTGGTGCCCTTTGGTTTGACCATGCAATTCTCCTCAATCACTGATACTACCTGGGTCCGCCAGTTCGGTTTGAGGATAGAGAGTGCCGTGGTATGTGCAGATCAACTTGACACCAAGGCACGTGGCTTCCGTGGTGTGGATCTCAATAGGGAAGATTGGAATGAACCGTCAATGGCTGCATCTGGGACAGTGACCAGTGCTTTTGATTGGTTTGGCACTTTCTGGATCTTGGATCCCACCCTGATGGAGAGATGAGAGTGAAAAGGCTGAGAGCTTCGAGGTCAATATGATTTCTTCTACTTGCCCATTGACTTCCAAACCGACAACAACCTCGGGTGCCTGGGAGTTTGCGTAGAGTGAATTGCTGCAAATTTGTCGCACATGTTGCCGTACAGCCACTTGGTTTTCGAGAAAGTTGGGCTGTGGCCCGAGCACGGACACAAGGAGATCAGCAGAAACTTTCTTTCTTGTGGGGCTTTGTTCTTCAGATACTTACTCCCTTGACAATCGGCTATTGGTTGGTCACTTCCCTTACAAGAGGCTGGTCTCCAATGTGGCAGGTATGCGTTCGTGAACCTGGTGACGCCCATGTCAGCCGAGCGCTTCCGAAGCACCTACCAGGGTTTGGCCTTGGCGGGGGATCGGAGCAAGAAGATCTGTGCGGTGGCACCAGCCACGACCCAGGGAAGGCACGGTCAAACACTTTGGACATTTTCATGTCCTTTTGTGAGCAAATGTGAGCAGTGCTTGGGCCTTTTGATGTGTTGTGCTGAGCTACAGTAGATGCATCCTTTCCCCTGTTGCACATGGGTGCCAGGGCTGCAAATGTGGAGTACTATAGGAACAGCAATGTTATGAGCATGGAGGACAAGTGCCCCAACTTTGCTTTGACATCATGGCCGTGAACCAGGCGGAGCAGCCACGTCAATTTTCAGGTACCAGCCTGTTGTGTTCGAGAATGGGATGCGGGCGCGGTTTCCTGCACCCACCAAGGCAGGGCCTTTCAATGCGGTTGGTCCACACCCCAAACTTGCCACAAGACAAGGGCAAGCGTGTTTCGCATGGATGTCAGTCTTGTGCACCTGTTCACAGGCTGTGAAGCCGATCCGCTACCGAGAGAGCAGGGGCGTGGTTCCAGAATGATTCTGAAGCGGGGCACTCAGTTGGTTCTGCCGCATCAGTGGCCGCATTCTGGAACCACACGATCTCAGTTTCGGGTTTGCTGTTTCAAGTGCGAGGTCATCGGTTCTCTGATCGATTGTCACAACACGTATCTGATATCAGCTTGATGGCCATCCGGTTTCTTGGGGAATGATGACCCTGGATGACGAAGGCTCCCAGATGAAATGAAGGAGGTCTCACCTGCAGGAGGAGTCAAGTTGTTTGTGACTCGTCCAGGGTCATCATCAACCTTGTTGGGGCGCTGGTGATCGGATTGGGGCAATGGCGAAAGGCCATGCCTGTGGCCATGCTGTTCAGCTTAGAACCGGACAAACCTAGAAGAAAGAGCTCATTATCATTAGCCGCTAGCCAAATTGTGCAGATGTGCTCAGGCTGGGTGAATACTAAAACGGGAGAAACCTTCTACTCACTACTCTTTGAACCTTCTGTGAGGGATTCCTGTAGTCCTATAGGTTTGTATTATATATAATCTAATATGTTGGTTGCTCATCCCTTTGGGAATGAAGTGGGTTCACAATCATGGCGTGGGAATTTCGTGCGTGTGGTCTTCATGTGTCCAGCATGCAACTATATAGGTGGCTTCAAGAACCACATTGGCTACATTGGTTTGCTAGTACTTTGCTTGTGTGGCCTGGATCATCCTTAGCAAGGTCAGGGTCCGATTCAAATGGAATGCCGGCTTGCTGGTGGGCGTGCAGCCTTCCAAATTCTTCGGTTAATTTCACCATACCTCCACAATGGCGGTTCTCAACGCCGGGTTTCGAAGGAAGCAGGAGAAAAGTTTACATACCTACTATTTGTGATATGCCTTGATCCACTTGAGGGTGATCTTTCGTTGCGCAGAAGTGATTTTCTTTGACCGTGTGAGTGTCCACAACCGGATATTTTTCCGCAGATTTTCTATTCTCTGGCCGCTTGGTTTTAGAAGCAGGCCCGAGGAAGGCTATATATAGCTTATATAACTACAGTTTGTGTTAGAATTTGTGTGAGGGCCCCTCCTGCTGCCCCTGCTGAGCACAAAGCTAATTTCAGGATCCGGTGACCGTCCGGTTACCTCCCAAAAGCTCCGAATCACGTGGTCCTTCCACATCTCTTCCGCCCTTCACCGTGCCATGGAGCCTGACAGAATGGAAGGGACGGGTGTCAAGGGACAGAGAGTCCTCTTTGATGTTCTGAAGGAACGATCTTCGGCGTCCTTCCATCGACATGTCCAGGACACCAAGCCTCCCGGCTGTGCCTGGCAGAGCCTCGCGATGGCCTTGCACAACGGATTTGGGCACCAAGACGTTGACAAGGCCTCGAAGAGCGGGGAGCTGTTGGAACTGGAGCGCGAGCTGCGGAGGTTGTTGGTGCACAGCTACCAAGCACTCTCGCCAAAGGAACTGAGGTTTGTTGCAGAAGCAAAGCTGCAATGTGAGCTTTCCTTCTTTAAGCACGCTGGATATTTAGAGGTCGAGGAGACACTACAACACTGGAAATGGTATTTGTACTGTTTGACATTTGACAGCCACTCATTCACTGAGAGCAGCCTTAAAGGCTGGAGTGTAGTCCCAAGGACACCCCTCAAGGGCGCTTTTGTAGTTCGAATGCCGTTGGACTCGGTGGATTTGGCCATTTTTGCCCAGCTTCTTGATGTGCAAATTCTCCTTTTCCAGCTCTTTCAGCCCGCACTTCGCTTTGGAGCCGGAGAGACTTTACACTTGCTCACTCATGGAGGCTTGTGGGCACCACTTCTATCCTCCAAGCAATGGCTACAAGAAAAATCAGACTTGTGTGGCAGCGTCGTTGAGATCGACCGCCTCGGGGGCCCTTTGGCACATTTGGCAGGGAAGAGCGCTTGTATTCTCAGCTATGATGTGGAGAACGATTGCCATATAGCTGCGACATGCAATACACGATTCCCATTGAAGAGTGTCCAGATTAGTCGCATCCTTGCACGACCTGAGGACGGATTAGTCACTCACGGACGCTGCGTATCCCGCATGCGAGGGACAGCTTTTCGTGGCATTCCCGACTCCTCCATAGACTTTCAAATCTTGTCGTATCTCATCCGCCTGGATGTGGGACAGAGATTGGACGACTTGCATGAAGAGCTGGCAGGTCGATGCCGGCGTCCGGTGTCGGACTACTGCACTCCAAATAAACATGTGCCATCTGGTCATCCCAACGAGCTTTGTACGTCCACATTGCCTTTGCAACAGGTTCTTGAGATGCTCTCTGAAGGTACGAAGGTTTGGACGAAGTGCCTTGCTGCCGTTGGCCCTAAGCGAGACAAGGCAGCCGAATTCTTGACCTGCCGGATCCAGGATTTCATTTGCTTGGAGAAAGCTTTGGATGAAGATCCTTTGGCTTTCTTGGCTCATACCGCTTCAGACCCACAAGCCAAGCAAATCTCCATGGATATCGTGTGCTCCTGGCTGGTGCTTGAAGACTATCTTCCACGCCAAGCGCATCCCAGATCCCACGAGCTCCTGGAGCTTCGCGAAGGTGATGCGGTCCTTGTGTCGGAGCGGCAGACGGCCAAGTGGCACGGCTGGGCCCGAGGACGACGGCTGCAGACGAGCGAGGAATCGCGGAAGAAGGAAGGCCTCTTTCCGATGGCAGTTCTGAGACCTCGTCTTTGGATTGCAAAGATTGAGAGCAGAAAGGAGCTGCCAAATAAGTCTGATTGAACATGATTGAACAATGTACACGAGACACCAAGACACAATCGTTGCTTGCTTTGGAGATCCAGGTTCGAGCAGTTTGGACCGGCTCGTGTAAGTCTCAGCGTCAAATGCTGCAAATATCGATCAGTATCTCAATCATAGCTTCAACATGCTTCAACATTTGTCCCGATGTTTACAAACATATCACTTGAGGTTCCTGCATCGCTCCTAGAGGAAGACCAGTCTATCATGCAAGCTCATTCATAATTGCAGTAACAGGCCGCTTTGAACCGCGGTAGATGAATCAGCATGGCAGCGCCCGCACTTGCGCTCCTGAAGAATGCTGATGGTTATGAAGATGTGGTGAAGTCCTCAGTCTTTGCGGGAGGCTGTTCAACAGCAGAGCAGGACAGTTTCGGTGCTCAGATACCTGGATTCTTTATTGCTGCGAAAGTGTTGTTCACAAGCGGCATAGTGGTGAAGTGCATGGGTTCGCCCTTCAATGAACATGCAAACTCCACGGTCTTTTGTTGTTTCTCCGTTTATTTGTTTGGGTGCTTGTACTTATGACTTATGCGAGCTTCCTGATTTCAAATCATTTCAAGTGGCAATATCAATATCCTCTTGATTTGTCTTGGCTGGAGGCTGCCAGGGTAAAGCCTTCTGCCGAAGCTGCATGGGACAGCATTTGTGCAACATCTCAATCATGTGTAGGATGCTGTCGGTGTATCGACCTGTACCTTCAATCTCCCATTCTTCATGAAAGCAGCAGTTTGACAACAACTCATTCTACCATCCACAGTGCTTGAGAGAGTGCCCGTTGTGCCATTGAATACCCAAATCCAAGTCAGTGTGGTCATTGAATTCCCTTGCAGGACATCCCGAGTGGCAGCCTTGTCGAGCTTGTGGAGGAAGTGCCCAGCGTTTGAACCACAAGTGATGTGAAGAAGTTTTCCACTGCAAGAGGGGCAGGCACAGAGTAGCACTGAAACTGCCCTGACTTTGCAGTTCTGATGCTTCCCCCAGGCCCGAGTATTGATTTCTACAGTGCAGTTCCGGGCATTCTGCTTTTCTATGATTTTGTTCTTTTTGGTTTCTTTTTGGGGGACTCCATGGCCGGTGTAGGACAAATACTTGATTCCCTGCATGGCTTGACAGGACTGGGTCGAGTGTGAGTCTGGCAAGCTCCGAGGCTCCGCTTCTCAGCTGTTGATTAAACGGAGTAGGAACAAACCGAATGGAACCCCAGAAACGGAGGATCGACCACTGGGCTCACTAGACCACAAGACCCACCCCCAACTCATTCACCCGTTCAAGCAGCAAGAAAGAACAATCAAACATTTGTGCTGATGTTCACGCTGGCTTGGATAGAGGGTTTCAGCCTGTTGGAACGCAGGCTTTATCAAAGGCAAGAACTTGCCGGCGGTTGCATCAAGCAACCCTGGGGACTGGTTGGAGGCAGAGGATTCTCAGTTTGTTTTGGGTGGAGCTTGATCAGAGTGTAGAATCAGAATATATACTCATACCACCTAGTTGTTCACAAGTTTCAACTTGAGAGTGCCTCAGCTGTCTTTGTTTTTGATGGCCTTGCATGATATGTATTGCTCTGGAGGTGCGTGACAGCTATGCAGGCCATGGAGCCGGCTTCCCTTTTTCCATGTTGTGACTAGTTGCTGAGGTCGTGGTGACACCTGTATATAGCATTGTGCAACTGACAGGCAACACAGAAACCTGCATGCGCCGTCATGCAGAGCAAGATGCCTCCAAAGGCGGAACGAAAAGGGCTTTCACCTGGCCCGGTCGAGCAGAGAATGTATTGCTGCGATGTTTTCGGAAAGCAAAGGAGGTCCCGTGCCCCTTTCCAAGCTTTGTATTGTGTGTGTAGCTGTGTGCAGGCAACGTGGTGTGCTTCGTCCCAAATGGGGCGAAAGCTGTTAAGCTTGTGGAAAGATGGGTTGAGTGCAGGCCAGTTGGGGAATCAAACGAAGAATGACTCGATCCTTCTGCTTTAGTCGTATGGATCAGGTGGCGTGGTCACAAAAAACTTTGTGAAGGCAAGGCATGTGAAGCCTGCTCCAGCTGGGGCGACATTGGAGACCGAGCCTTTGCTTCATCATTTCGATTTCTTCATCAAAGCTAGGGAGCTAAAACCAACAACTGCATACTTGAATGGCAGCTGTTCTCAAGTTCAACACCTCTCCTTCTCTCCCTCTCTCTCTCTCTCTGTTTGTGTAACTTTGTCCTCTGGAAGAGTGAAGTCACATGACCCGGCCTTGGTGTGGCTGGCCACGCAGAAGAAAGAGAGAGAGAGAGAGACAGAGGAGATGTAATGTATGTATCAGAAATGGTTTTGACTCTTGGCGGGCTTCCCCAAAAGGATGATACCTTGGGTGCTGCGGCGAAAGGACGAGGAAGCCCAGGCTGGCGGAGTGCCACGCCATGCATCAAGCTGGTAGACCCGTAGCTGCGTCCCTGAACCGGGAGGCAAAGCCAGGGGTGCGCCGGGACCAAGTCTGAGCGAATCACCAGCCAAGAAGCTGAAGACAGGCCTCAAAGCCTCAAAGCTTCAAAGCCTAAGCCAGCTGGCCACCAGCTTGCCAGTTGGAAGTCGCGCCTGAAACGCGCTGCCGCAGGTGATGCTCCGCGGCCGCCATGTAAGCCACGACCTTAGGTGATGCTTATCGTCGTGGGAAATTGGAATGCCTGCTGGACTGGCTGGTTGAGGTATGGTGCTGGGTGCTATCAGAAAAATCCGGTTCACCGAGCAAAGTTTCTTGCTCTGCAGTCGCCTGTTTGGTCGTTTCCAATGCGGTTAACTCTCACAGAGACTTTTGCCTGTGCAAAAGTCAAGCAGATTCGTTTATGGATTGTAGGAGACCTAGCAAGCTTCAGTGTTGGACGAAAATGTCGCCGCACTTCTCTTCCCCAGACTGGTTCGCCACTGTAAGAGCCTGTCAATGTGTGCAGCCGCCAAGTTTACGCAGTGGTGACGGTATTGATCAAACACGTGCGGTGAACTTGCAGAGCTCTCTGAGGTTTTCTCACCCGGGTGACCCTGACTTTGGTGGAGACGGAGGTGCAACATCTTCGTCCTCCTCGAAGGGGCCGGTGCATCACCCTAGTGCCGAAGCGGCCGCCGTGGCCTCCTCTGGGAAGCTGGAGGAGAAGGAGGCGAAAGAGACGTCAAAAGATGCAGAGATGGTACCAGTGGAGGGGGATGACAAGCCTGAGAAGCCTGAAGTGCTGGAGAAGGCTGCAGAAGCGCCGGCAGCGCCTGAAGCCGAAGACGGTGTGCCTGAGGCGGATGTGGCCATGCCGGCGGCGCCGGCCCCTGCTGCGCCGGCCCCCACTGCACCGGCGGCCCCAGCTGCGCCGGCGGCCCCAGCTGCGCCACCGGTGCCAGCGCCAGCAGGTGCTGCTGGTGCGGCAGAGCCTGCAGCACATGCAGAATGCCACCTCCTCGGCTCCAAACCCAAGGATCGCTTTTAATGTCGCTTGGTGTTTGAGTCAAATGACTGAGGTCGAGATTGTGACTGTTGCTTTGACAACGTCCCAACAACCGATGGAATTGGCTGCCCTTCGGGCGAGCACTTCTTTTGCAAGGGCTGCATGGCCAATTTCCTGGTCGCGTTCAAGACTGCAGACTATGCAGATCAAAAGATGCATGGTTGTAGAATCATGAATGGATGCTTGATCTTGTGAGGTTGCGCATGGTCACATATATATATATATATATAATCATCCTCGAGTAGATAGAATACGGAATTGAGCCGCCAACGTACCTTCCGTCATTTCAATTTCATATTCTAAGTACCTCGTTTTGACCCCCCAAAAAAAGTACATAGAATATCTCCGAGCGGATCAAACGAGTACTTGGAATATCGTGGAATGGTCTGTGGAAGATAGGGGACATAGGGGAGAAGACGGGAGAAGGAAAAGGGACATAGGATGCGAGCTCGCGCGCGCGCGCGGGTGTTTCGATTCGAGGCACGCGGGTGTTTTGATATAACCATCCTGAAGATGCTTTTGGGACCCCGATATTCCATGTATTATTACTTTTTTTTAGTGCCGCGGGATTGAGTTGTACCAAAATTCTATGTACTTCAGGATGGTTATATATATATATAATATATCTATATCTATGTGTGTGTGCATCAAGTAAGATCGCCCCTAGATTTGACCCTGCGCCCAGGAAGGCCAAAGGAAGGGCTCTATGTCCGATGAAGGACGTTGTTACATTGTTCCTTTTTTGTTCGGGAGCCGCGCAGCAGCTGTAGCCGAGCGGTGGTGAAAGAATATGAAAGACCTCGTTCGGGAGAGGCTTCGAACGTACATCACCATGCACAACTACCCGGTAACTACCCCTCCGAATGTACCTGATGGAGGATTTGATCCGTTTAGATAAATGGTTTGATCCGCCCTCGCAGGACTCCGAGACTCCCTTTGGTGATTCGGTGCTCGCCGCGGTGGTGCCTCAGGACGGGAGATTCGGAGGGCCGGTGACGTCCAACGCGTGACACACGGAGGACGTCTTCGATGAGTATCTGCAAATTCGCATCAAGGTGGCCGAGCAAAGCATCCAGGACAGATTGGCTTGATGTTTTTCCATAGTTTTCCGCACTTGAGAGACTAAACTTTAACAAGCACTCCCACATACTTCCACATTTGATTGTTTGATTTTGGAAAGGTAGCTTTCGGGCCTAGATTTCTGGGATGCTCTATGTTCGCTAGGGTTTCTCAAGTTTCTTGTTCCATTCGGGTGAGCAAACGAGAGTCATGTGCGTTAAGGGACGGACGCCAAACCACTCCTTGCATCGGTTGTGCCAGGAGCACTTTGAAAAGGAAAACAGCGCCAAAATCGATGAGCTCAAGGAGAAGCTGGCGAAAGCTACCGGCAGTTTGGGATTCCAAGTGTGTGGATTCCATGTGGGTCAGAACGCACCCAAAAAAGCCTTTGCGCAGTGGAAGCTTTTTTATTATGTTGTATATACATGTCATGATTGGAGAAACCTCCCAGTTGGGTGAGTGCGCGTCACGACATGGAGATCAAACGGCTTTGATATTTTTGGTTCGGTTCATTAGGGGGTGGGTGGGTCAACAAAAAGTTACCACAAAAGCCATTGACTGGTACACCAGTACGGTTCACCGCTAGGGTTCTCGCGATCTATGCACTTTAGTGCTGGAGGTGAGCGAACAGGATACCATGCACTGGTGATGTTTTGATTGTTTGGATGGGTTGATGCCTGAGGCAGCGAGCAACTGGAGCTGGACAAGCACCGGCTCAAGGTCATAGACGAGATCTTCACTCTGAAATGCCCGAGGTGTGCGATGGCCTTTCTGGATTACGACAACTGCATCTTGCTTGCCTGGCTTTCCTGGCTTACTTTGCTTCAATGGGTATCTAACAGCCCTCACGCCCGACAATGTACCTACCAGTAGATCAGTAGATGATCTGGGGTGCTTGCTGTGAAACCTCTACTCTTTACTCGTGTGGGGGCAGCTTTGCTGACTTGATGGTGGGCTAGCTGCTAGCTGTTGACGATGTGAGGTAGTGCTATCACATGCGCTGCCTGCAAGTGCGGCTTCTGCTCCTACTGCTTGGAGGAGTTCCTTTACTTGCTTTGCAACCCGCAGTTTTAGATGGACGCAGTGCTCGTGTTTGGATCCTTGGTTAGGATTGCGGAAAGGATGCCCATCAGCATTTCTACAAGAACGGCAGCAAGTGTCCACATGAAGGCCGGGCCGAGCCGCTGTCGGAGGATCATTCAAACAACCCCAAGTGTGGAAACTTAATTGTGTTGTATATTTTCTGGTGGCAGCAAATTTTGGTGAGTTGGTAATGCAGAAAATATCAGAAAATGGTAGCAGCATCATTTGCATCAGTAAGGTGTTTGTGGAAGATGGCTATCAGAGCGGCATTGCGTGTTGGTTTTGCTGCTGATTGTTTTCTGCTTCTGTTGCTGCTGCTGCTGCCGCCGTCGCCGCTGCTGCCGCCGCCGCCGCTAGGTTGCTGCTGGGCTGGTGGTGGGTTGCTGGTGGGGTGGCTGCTGCTGCTGCTGCTGCTGCGGCGTCTGTGTCTCAGGTTTCGTGCTTGGTATGCTCAAATGACAACTAGTTGATTTTGGTTGATCTGGGGAGTGGAAGGTAAGGTTGTGGGGTTTTGGTGCGGGCGGTATGCACATGCATGCAGTGGAGATGCATTCGATGAGGTCCGATACACGCTGTTGTTGAGGTGGCCCACTCTTCATCGCGTACAATCTGTGGCAAGAGTACCAAAACCGACGCAAGGCGTTCTAAACCCACGTTTTGCAGACGAAAACGCGTGTCACCAAGCAGCAGGTCATGTGTTTGCTCCTTGCATGAAGCGTGCCATGAACCTTTTGCAGGAGCGTCTATTGTGTGAGTTCCTTGCGAGCCTGCCGGAGGACACCCGCAAGAAGGCAGGAGTAGGGAGACGGGAAGACGGAAAGACGCCCTGATGAACGGCGTTGCCGGTGTTGCCCGGACGCCCTCTCATCGACTTCGGCGAAGATTCCGCCAGGTGGCCGACTTGATATCTCCAGATGCAAAGGATCTGGGGATTGAGGTGCCCGAGGACCGGGGAAGAAGGGGTCAGAGGGGTTTATGCAGCCTAGCGTGGGAAGACGCATGGACAAATATTGAAGTGAACATTTGCTTTTCCTTTCATGTCATGTTTGCCCGCTACATCATGGTATGGAACCACAACATCAAGAAATGCAGTTGTGCACATGCTCTCATCGCTGCTTTTGTTTTTCTGTGTTTGTCCAGGATTTGACTGCGGCCAGTTTGGTGCGGGAGGCCGCGCTTGAAGCAACAGTATTTTTGGGTCCTTTTTGACATCTTACTGTTTCTGATGGACACTTCGCAGATGTTGAGGCTCATGGCATTCAACGTCTCAAAATCTCTGTGCCACAGAGGTGAGGAGCTTCTCATCTTTAGAGTATGATTCAAGCTGCTTCACACCTGTCAAGCGAGGCTCCGGCGCCGCTTACTGGAGCTGAAGAAAGACTGTCCCACTACAGTGGCACAGCGCCAAGGGGATTGAAGAAGACTGTGGAGACTGCTATTTGACTGGATTTGCTTCGTGTGTTTGAAGAGCTGCTTAGGAGCTCAAGATTCCTGACCCGAAGGAGAAGGCGTGGTGTCAAGCCCTGACTGCTTTCTTGTCCAGATGGACTGAGCTCGGTCAGCCTTGAGACAGGTTTGCGTGGGCGGCATTGGCTTCGGGGCAATTATGGCGTTCAAGGTGCGAGAAAGCATGCTCCGTTCGTAGCGATGCCGTAGCGTCGGATCGCTCCTAGTAGTAAGGCCAGGAGCCCCTAGTCGCTTCTTGTTACTAGTGGCTTGACAAACACCTCAAGATTCACATGTGCAATGTATCCCACCAGCGGGTTTGTAGAGAAACAAATCGTCCAGAGTCCAGGGGTTGAACACACATAGCTGTAGATGAGTTTGGTACTGGGTGCAATGACCCACTGCCAAATCAAGGAGAGCCTACAGCTTCCAACAGGTCGTTTTGACAGTCTTTTGGAGTGGAATTGACAGCGGTGGCCACTACTTTCCTTGAGGAACAGCCTTTGAGCCACGGTAATGATCCGCCCTCAGGCGCTTGGCACAGTGATGGTAGGTGGAAAGAAGAACTTGGCTGCTCACCTACCTGCAAACCATCCAGTGCGGTTGCTTAGACCAGAATTGGTCCACGTCACATCCAAAGCCTGATATTGTGATCATTGGTGATCTTGAGGTCAAGATCGAAGATGAGTGGGTTTGTTGCAGAGGAGTGCTGCCCTTTTGTGCTGAATCCCGCTGTGTGTTTGCAGTGCGTGGCAGGGTGTGCTTGTGGCAAATGAGACACGAGCATGAAGCGCATGTTGGGTAGGTAGGCTGGCGTGCAGGTGGGAAGAAGAGTGCCATTCCTGGACAAGGTTTCATCAAAGCGCGGCATGTGACCGGACCTCTGACGCCAGGGAAGAAGGCTCGTTGGAACTCCAGACAGCCATAGAGCGCTACTTCGAGAATTCGGCCTAGAGTGAACCCACTGGCAGTTCAACCGCGGTTTTCCAGAGCACGCTGTAGGGTGTTTAACTCACCCATCAACCAAGGCTGATCACCCTCTGCAGGATGGACTGTTGATTGGACCGCTCAATGGAAGGCCACCCTCTTGGAAGCCAATGGGCATGGCAGCGTCATGGTTCGGAAGAATGCCGTGCAGGAGCTCGCGTGCCATGAGCAAAAAGCTTGTGGTTGGTAGGCGAGGATCCCTCTCATGGGTTCGTTTGATTGACCGACAATTTGGCCGCACATATGATGCGGGCCCCTTCGCAGGACCAGTGTCCTAACAACAATATGGGCTGGTTCATTGAAGATTGATTGTGGGAAAGGAACCCTAGGCCCTAAGCCCTAAGTATGTGACTGCAGATAGCTGCCACCGATGGCAGTTAATTCTATATACAGTGTGTAAGCGGTGGAACAGCTTACAGGTGCTCAAAACACAAGAGCTTCTAGCTAACACGGGCAAGTTGGGATGGCACGGCAATCCTTCAACGCCCAATTGTTTTCTCGCTTTGATCCACTCTTGACTGAGTCGGTTCACGGACTCTGGCACACAGTGTTCACACTGCATGCCCCCTGCTCTCTTTGCAGCCGAGGTGCTGCGAGCATAAACTCGATTAGCGAAAAACCAGGAACACGCGAAACAAGAAGATAAAACGGAGGTCCAAAAACACAAAGAAAGACACGAAAGGACGAAGTTCGGAGGCCTAGGTTGTGATATGTGTGTTGTGTTGTGTTGGAGGTGTTGTTTGTGGAATTGTTGTGGTTTGTAAGTTGTTCTCCAGAGGTTCTTTCTGGAGTTCTCGACGGCGCTTGGCCGATGCCATGGTGTCATCCTGCACTATTCGCCAGCGTTGATGCATGCGGTACCATAGTTGAAGCTGCCGCTGTTCATTCTTGGTCAAGGAATTGCTCAGCTGCGCATCGATGTGAACCCAGCGCACCACCAAGTTGTTCTTTAGTTGTGCGTGCTTCAGTCCCATCAACTCAATGTCGACCCTTCTCTCGGTACCTCGGGTACAGATTACCTCAGTGGACAGTTTATCGAACACGTTTCGGCTATCCGTGACCAAGCCACCTACCACAGTGTTCACCAAATCGTTCACACCTCGAATGCTAAAAGGTCGTCCGAGCATTTCACCAAATTGGAACCTAGAAAAGAAAAGGGCATCTTCGGAGTTGACAGCTGCTGCTGCCTCACTAGCACCAGGACTCCTGCAAACCCTCCGGGTCTTGGAGGAGTTCCAAGCAAGGGGAGACACGAACTCACACTCACCTTTCAACAAACCTAAGTTGGCCGCTCCGATGAGGTATCCCTGGGTACTGCCGCCATCAATGCGGTTTTGGTTGGACGCATCACACCAAACGAGAAGTCCAAAGGTTTCCAAGTCAATCTTGGGGATGAGGAATTTGTGATCACGCATGGGTTTCACTTCGTGCACGAGCTTGTTCGCTCGATGAAGTGTTTCGATCGTGCTTTTACTTACTTCGGACAACAAGAGTCCGGTCTCGGCAGAAAAGTGTGGTGCCGTTTGCTGAGCTAGCCAGCTCACCCCACCCAGGAGTGCCCGAAGTTGTCCTTTTTCCAACTCGTCGGTTTCTCCATGTTTGTCTTTCTTTCTATGGGCTCGGATGTTGATGTACTTCAAGTCATCAATGTATGCTTCTTGTGACAGGGCGTATGTTCCATCGGCTGCACATTCAACTTTGACCCCACACTGAACAAAGGGGCCAGTTTCCCAGTCAGACCATTTGTATTTTTGCTTGATCGTGGCCAGCAAATGTTGCCACTCTTTGCAAGTTTCACCTCCTGAGAAAACAAAGTCGTCGACGTGTCCTGAGATCAAACCTTTGAGTTGTCCCGCCACCTGAAAGGTCCAGCAACAGGGGTCTGACCAGCATCGTCGCAGATTGTGCTCTTGGAAGAATTCAGAAACGGATCTGTACCATTCTAGCGGTGTATCAACCAATCCGTAGCATGCCTCTCGAACCCGTGTGATGGTTTCATGAGGAAGTCCCATGGCATCAAGGATTTCAGGACAAGGGATGCAGTACAGGTTGTCTGGATAGGTTCGAGACTGGAGAAATGCACCAGTGACATCTCCCTTCCAGGTCTTGAAACCCTTTGCTGCTGCAATGGTCAACTGGATCTGACGAGTTTGTCTTGTAGTGGTTGGGGATGCAGTTGCTCGACCCTCATACTCAGGGTCCATGTACCCCAACAGAACAGCCCTTGCTTTGGCCTTGTGGCCGCCATCCGGCAATGCTTTCCATGTCAAGATCCAGCGCATTCGAACGGCATCTTCTCTTCGAACACGATGTGTCTCTGGCAAGGCCTCAAAGGCTTTTGCTGCTATGAAATTGTTGACTTCCACGGATTTGGCCTTGTCAAAAGATGCTTTCTCTTCTGAATTCATGCGTTTCTCTGACACTTCGATGGCTCTCTTCTTGAAGGCGTTGGCCAGATAGGCCTGAAGATCTCTCATGGCTCGGTCCGAGGAACCACGGGTCTGTGGCATATCTATACACACTTCCACCGCTGCTCCGGGACTTGTCCAGAAAGTACCTGTATCTTCAGTAGCCAAGAATGCACTGTCGGGAAGATTGTCTGCCCATGAAGGTCCCTGATCAAACCCAATGGGTGGTTGAGCGACAACTTCACTGTCTCTATTTCGACTGCGAGATCGACCTCGATCCGGGGTCTCCTCCGTGTCTTCCTGTTCACGGAAGACTGCACTACGCCTGAGGCGACTGCTGGCTGAACCTTCTGGGCAGACATCAACTTCTGCTGATGGTGGACATGACCGTTTGCCATGCTGTCGCACTGTAGGCTGCCATTCATGTTGTGGGTCTTTTGCTCTATGCCACTCTGCTTCGTCGGGTTGCTCACTCCAGTCTTCATAGTCGTTACCTCCCAACTCTTCTGCAACCTGTGGAAATGTCCAGGGTTGTGAGGCCTCTGAACGCAGCTCATCGACGATTTGTTCACGCTCCGATGCGTGCCGTTGCTGTTCCGGACAGCGCTTCAAGAGTCGTCGTCCACGGACTAACCATACGGCTGAGCCCTGTATCAACTGTCCATCTGCATCTCGGCGTAACTCTGTGGCCAAGATTCAAGCTGGTCCAACAAACTTTCCCGTAGTGGTCTTTACAGGGTATATGCGTCCTTGCCTGTCACTTGACGCCGCCAAATGAAGACCAAGTCCCCGGCTGAAAACTTGTGTAGCCGGCGGTGTCGGGAGTTGGCTGCTCTCTGCAATCTCTGACTGTTGTTCCAATCCAAAAAGGCCTTTTCTGCTGCTAAGCGAAGCCGGGATGTTGTACGGAACTCTTCTTGTGGGTGCACAGACATCAACTCGGGTGGTGGATTTGCACTCATCTCAGAATCGTCCGGTGTCATCCGGAGCCCGACCTATCACATGTTGTATGGGTGAATAGCCTCGAACGACTTCCCGATTGTTGAGCACACGAATGCTCTCTGAGAGGACGTCTTCAAGGGCATCATCGGGAAAATCCTATCGCAGAACTCAGACAGTCCATGGCTTCGGAAGCTTCCATCTGGGTCGACTCTGAGAGTCAGTGGACATCCAAAATAAGAGATCCAGGCTTCCTTGAAAACACTAATGAACTGCGCGCCTGACACATGCTTTTGTTTTCCCCGAACCCCGATTCGAGAGACCCGGAACCGACAACCCTCATCAACCAACATGATGAACTGAATGTGTTCCCCGTTAACAGGATGTATGAAGTGTCCCATGTCGGCGGATACGGTGTGGAACTTTGCTGGCTGAGGCTCTAAGGCAGCCACGTTTCTGGGCTGAGGTCGAGACCGCTCCTGACACACTGAGCACTTGAAGCGTTCAGCTTCTGCCAAAATGGCAGGGTGCACTCCTCTTCGTTTCAAAGATTGTATCATATACTTTATGGGGCTGTGTCCAAGTACAGTTTCCGTCGGATCGTCTCAGCGTCCATATTGCATGGTCCAGGGTCCTCGTCCTCATTGGCCATCACTTCAAACAAAGGGGGACTGCAGTTTCCACAGGTTAAGTGCGTTTCATGCTTTTGGTGTTCCTCGCAAAGACAAAACGCACCTTTTCCAAAAAGGCCCCCTTCCGTAGCATGTCCGTTCAAATCCTGTTTCAGT